GGTTGACGCCACCCTCCGCCCTTTTGGCGGGGACGGGAGACAGTTTTAGTGGGTATGCGTGGAAACCGCCCCTCTTCTTGGGGCGCCGGAAGCGAGAGTCCCACACTATCTGGGCTATCTTTCCAGATGTCCATTATTGGATTTCTGTCTTCCTAAAACAAAAAACAGCGAGGCGACCCAGAGATATTAGAAATTCGAAATAAGCTAGAAGCCGGAGATCGCGAAACTCACGAACGTTTTACTATGTATAATGCTAGAGTATACATATGTAGATTCCACCACGAAAAAAAATCGCCTATTGTACAAAATATCATTGAACTCCTGACTATTTTTAATAGTTTACTTTATTATTTTCTTTTCCTCTTACACTGTTCTGTTCTTTGCTAGGATGGCACCGAATGGAATTTTTAAATTCTTAGCACTCAAAGCTTTGAACTGGGAATTGTAGAAACTTAAAGCGGTAATTTTGTCTTGTAAGAGAAATATCCTATTTTAATTGATATTAACAAAATTTTTTAAACACACATACATATATCTTACGTATTCGATCTGCAGTTCTATGATTACGATTGAGTGTTGTGCTGACTCGCGCACGTTGGTTTATTCAAAAGAAATTAATCTTAGGAATAATGTTTTAAGGATGAGTCCGAAACGGTTGACTTTTTTGATTCCAAGACCGAAATGTTGACTTGTGGTGAATTATACATCCGAATTCTACGTCCGATACGAATGACTTGTGAATTCTTTTGGTCCGAAACGAATGACCTTTGTATGATTTCTAGGTCCGAAGCGATTGACCGCAGTATTAACTTCTAGGTCCGAAACAAATGGCCTTCTTATTAATTCTTAACTTGTCCGACTCGATTGAGTTTAGTATAAACTCTGACGATACGTCTTCGGCGTCACTTCCTCGACACGTCGGAAGCAAAAAGGAGACATGCTGATTGGGTCTCATTAAGAATGTTTATTTTCCAATCAACATGCCCCTTGACGTTGGGCCTACCCCCTCTTGCGTCCTGAGCGCGCCTTTTTTGGAAGAGGGTGGGAAAAATACCGATGAGTACGGGAAGATTTTGAAAGTCGGCAATGCCGAGGTTTCTCCCTCCAGGTGACACGCACGTTGTCCTAAAAAGTACCGCTACGAAAGGACCGAGGTCCAAACTCGGTGACCTTTCGGGAAAAACCCCGTTTATGATGGAGTAGTTATTGAAAGCGAAATAAGAGTTAGAAATTCTAAAGGCATTGTTTGAAAAAATGTAAAATTAAATTTCCGGCAATGGCTAAAATTCGTCTTTCAAAAATAATTGTTAGACCCGGACCCATCATAAACTACCTACGAAATCCTCTCCCGTATTGTGTTCCGTCGCACGTTCGGAACAAGTGTCAATCTGCTTTTATCTTCCAAAGCAAAAACTAATCGCCGACCATTCGCAAAGCATCACGTAGCGGATATTTAGTATATATGTATGTACAATTTAAATAAAAAGTATTCGCGAATGCTGTATCCTTTTTTATAACATCTTCAAAAATACTGCTAATTCTTTAATAGAATTGACATAAACCAACTACCACAAAAGCAACAGTCCTGATATCGCATATTAACCAGCAAGCTAAATTAAATAAACTACAAAACTCGCGGTTAAATTGACAATAAGTGCACGTGTACTTAACGAATATTCAAACTCGATTTTCTCGCAAACAATGATTGAAATAAAAATATTTCATTATATTATACATTTTCAATTTATATTTTCAGAATTTTCAGAATCACCTCTTACTCGGTTGTTGTGTTAAGCTCTTTTCATGTTGTTGTTACGTACGCCAATGATTTTTTACTCCTCGAAGATGAATATTCAGGAATAGCCTAAGACCACCGCGAAGCGAGAGTCTAGTCTTGCCTAGGTTTTCCAGTTACCAGGGTTTCCTTATTAGGCTTCGCTCGAGAACATCCAACGTCTTCGGACCAACGCGATGAAAATTCGTTAGACGAAAACGTCGCGTTGATTCGTTCCCACCGTCTCCACCACTACTCGTTTTCTACCCATTTTTGAGTATAAAAAGGGTTGTGGAGAAGACGCCTCGGACCCAGTTAATTCTCGAACGTGGACTAACGAGGAACCTTTGTCAGAGTTTAGTTAGAGTCTTTCACGTTGAATTAAAACTAAGTCACTTTTGAGCAAGATCGGGTTAGAGTCCCCTTCGAGCAACATTGATAACCATACAGTACGTATAGTTTACTGTTAGGCATTTTTCCTAAAGTACTTTCGGGTCCCCGTTTCGCTTGTTTTTCGTTAAAACTGGGCAGGATTAGATTCTCGCTTTGTCGGAGTCGAAACATATTAAACTCAAGTAAAATCAAGTCAAGAACATTTCTTGTAAAAATCACCTTAACCGACAAATACACATAATCATTTGTAATTCCGGTTTTGGGAAAAGAATATATTGTCAACTTTTATTTTTTAAACTTAATCTTTGCCTTTGTCAATTATAAACCAAAGTCCTAATAAACCCACCAGTCGGTATATCTTAGCCGCTCGAGGTATACTGGCATATCTTTGTTACGAGCACAAAATACTAACATTTCCTGTGACACCCGGCGTTGACAACATACGTCGGTTCGTTCACCATAGCCAACCTCCTGGGGCTCCCGGCGTTAGCCATACGTCGGTTCGTCCCCGCGTCTACTTTCCTTTGGCGCTCAGGTTAAGTAACAAACCTGAGTTAGCCTAGTAACACTACCTTGACCAAAATACAGCCCCCAGCCACGCGGCTGTGACCCCTCCGGCAACTTGACTAAAATACAGCCCCCAGCCACGCGGCTGTGACCCCACCGGCTCGTAACATTGTCTTGAAAGTAGTACGATAATTTACATCCAATATGCGTGAGTAAAGTCCATTGTATTTAATAAGTTTAAGCAATTAGGCATATGGGTTGCTGATTTACTTTATTCAGCATTGGTTCGTGTTTGTTTTGCATGATGTTTTTGCCTGATAATTCAACTAAATAACCCAAGAACTAGAGATAAATTGGAAAAAATGCGCAATGTTGCAGAGTAAAGTTGAATTTTTAGGTCACATAGTGGAAAATGGCAGTATTCGATCCGCGGAACAGAAAATGCATGCAGTTGCTAATTTCCAAAACCGACAACAATCAAACAGGTACAGAGTTTTTTGGGTTTAACTGGATATATCCGGAAATTTATTAAGGGATATGCATCGATCGCGAGACCGCTGAGTAATTTGTTGCGGAATGATGTCGAATTTGTTTTCGGTTCTAAGAAAACAGCGGCGTTTGAGGAACTAAAATTTAAATTATGTGATACACTAGCATTAAAATTATATAGGCTAGAAGTGCGGACTGAGTTACATACGGATGCATCTGTCCATGGATTCGGTGTAATATTAATGCAATTCTGTGATGATGACGGTGAAATGTATCCCGTTTATTTTGCAAGCGGTAAAACGACACAAGCGGAGGAGAAGTACCCGAGTTACGAATTAGAAGTACTTGCAACTGTTAAAGGTCATAAAAAATTTAGAACATATTTATCAGGCATTGAATTTAAAATAGTTACGGATTGTAAGGCTTTTGCATTGACTATGAAAAAACGGGATTTATGTGTGCATGTTGCGAGATGGGCTCTATTATTGGAGGAATTTAATTATAGTATAGAATATAGAATATCGACCGGGCAGAGCAATGATCATGTAGACGCGCTTAGCAGAAACCCACTATCAGAGTGTTTGTTAATTCGTGAGGACGACGGAATGACGTTTAAAATAAGACAATTACAGCAGAAAGATGATGAGACATGTCGAATTTTTGAACGTGTGAAAGCAGAGCAAATGGACGAATGTTTAATAC